TAGAGCAATGAGATCTGGAACAGAAGTTCTGCTGCTTTGGAGCACCTCCTCTGCTTGCTAAGCCTGTATTAAAAAATCCTGACCACTTCTCCCTACTGACTCTGCTCTCTTGTATGTCCTGGCTGCCTTCCTTAATTGTAGATATGCCATAATTCTGAGATCTGAGTGTTTCAGATTTATCTATGCATTTGGATTTTTTTTGAGTGGGGCGGGGGGGTATGGGGGGGAGTTTTACTCGGTTGTCCCTGCTGGAGTGCAGTGGGGTCAGGAGAGCTCACTGCAACCTCAAACTCCTAGGCTCAAGCAATAATAGCTGGGACTACAGGTGCCTACCACTATGCCTGGCTAATTGTTTTTCTATTTTTGATAGAGACAGGGTCTCGCTGTTGCTCAGGCTGGTCTCAAACTCCTGAGCTCAAGCACTTTGCCTCCCAGAGTGCTACGGTTACAGGCGTGAGCCACTGTACCTGGCCTCATTTGGATTTTTAAGGGATAACATTTTTGGAGGGATCATGTGTAATATCTTTAAGACAATGGCAAAAGGAGAATAACAGTATTTGTTAGTCTGTGGACTTCTATTGTGTTTGGGTTTGATTTTAGAGCTTAGTAGCAAAGTCAGAGATCACGTAAATGATGGTTTGTGCCTCTCTCTTTTTTCCATAACAGATGAGAGCTACTGTTCTCATAATTCAACAGTTAGTGATTGTCGTGTGGTGAACACAACAGACTTCTGTTCTGGTATGTATTCATATTGGTTGCTGGGAAGGTGGCCAAAGAGAGGTGGGGAAGATCATTTCCTCCCAAAGCCTTGTTTCAATGTTTTGTTTAAAAGCATTGCTGTAATTCTCATCTTGTCAAAAATTTAGATGTAAATAGCATATACATACTGATTAATAAAAAGATGATATTGTTACAATTCATCCTTGTCCCTGAGGCCACATCAGAAGAATAAGGACAAGTGGTCTGAGAAGGAAAGAGAGGTTAATTTGCAGGCAAATGAAAATGGCAGGCTCCCGTCTTAAAGTACCAGTTTTCCTCACTATAAGCAGAAATACAGAGCTTTCAAAGGGAGGATTTTCAGCTTTAGGCTATTGCTGCTTAACTATAGTTGATGATTCTGAGCCATCTATGCATCTCCACAGTCTCTTGATTGTGACTTCCTGGACAGTTCCATTGGGCCATCTCCTGTGGCACAAAGAGAACAAAGAACACTTCCCTGCCCCTCTCACCACCGGCGTGGGACAACAGAGTCTTGCTCTGTTGCCTGGGCTAGAGTGCCACAGCCTAGCTCAGAGCAACCTCAAACTCCTGGGCTCAGGCGATCCTTCTGCCTCAGCCTCAAGAGTAGCTGGGACTACAGGCGTGCACCATCACGCCCGGCTAATTTTTCTATTTTTAGTAGAGACAGGGTCTCGCTCTTGCTCAGGCTGGTCTGGAACTCCTGACCTCAAGTGATCCTCACACCTCTGCCTCCCAGAGTGCTAGGATTACAGGCGTGAGCCACCATGCCTGGCCAGAGATACAGGCTTTAATTTCCAAAAAGAATGAGGGAAGTTTTAAAGAGACAGCTCCTAAAACATTTTTCCATTTTCCCTCTGTTACAGTATTTTGAAGCTTGGTTTAGTGATTTATCTGTACTGTGGAATGTTACAAGTGTAGATGTTTCATCTACTTTTTTTTTTGGTTAAGCTTTTCCAGGAATTCACCGCAGTTTAGATTCTGTCTTTATTTGCATCTTACAGGCCTGGACAACCTTGTTCTGGCACTTTCGGAGTTCTAGTACTGGTGATTGTTACATTTTGTCTCCAGCACAGTGTGTGCTATGGTTAAATGAATGTTTTCTGTGTCCGTCTGTTTTCTGTATTGTAATTTGAGGAACTTGATTGCTCTTTAACCTTTATTCTTTGTCCTGCAAAACATTTAAAATTCCTAGTTGAAACAGCTGAGTTTTTTAATAAGATTATCAATTAATGGGAAAGTCACACTCCTAATTTGGTGAGTAGATAATAATTGAATAGAAAAAAGATTTTTGTGGAGTATGTCAGTAAGCTTGAAAGACTACCCTGATTCTTTAATTTTGGTAGGCATTGCCCCACCTGCCATCCCAATGTGAACTTTGTAACTGAGAATTTCATTAATATTAGATTAGTTTTACTCTGTGTAGGGTGTATAATCTGGTTAGGTGGTTTAAGAGCATTTTTAATATTTATTTATTTATTTTTTGGGACAGAGTCTCACTGTGTTGCCCGGGCGAGAGTGCCGTGGCGTCATCCTAGTTCACAGCAACCTCAAACTCCTGGGCTCAAGTGATCCTCCTGCCTCAGCCTCCCGA